GCAGAAGTAAATTTATATATACCAGGTTTATGGCTAAAAGTAGAAGGGATGGATAGTTGAGACAGCTCGGAGACCTTCCAATTCCCTGAAATCAGAAGAGGGTGGTTTTTTCAATCTCTGGCTCTCGAGGGATCCAATGACAAGAATTTCTTGCGATACCTAGGTTTAAAATTAAAGAAACTAGTTTCACCCTTAATGGTAGTCAAGTTTAAGAGATAGATGAAATCTCTAAAACACAAGGATACCCCTAGCTTCAGTCCTAATGCCAGAAAGGTCGACATAACTAAGTAAGAGTTCGGTTCAGTTGCATAAGGTGAGTATTTGTGAAGAATAAGATGAGGTGAATCATGGGATGGAGCGGGAAGCTAATGGCCTCTAAGTGGTATGGAGACAAAACGGTACACCCGGCTGGGATGCTGGAGCCCGAATACATGTTGGCTCTCGCGGGAAACAAGCTGAGGTGCACGTCATCTGGAACATGACATTGGTCACGAGCCTTGATGATTTCAAAGTGTGATTGAGTACCACCATATTTAAACCAATGTGTATGTCTCGACATGAGGAACAAGATGGGAGACTTACTGGCCGAAATTGATTCGAGAAGATAAGAAGAGGAATTAGTACCTGTAAGTGGAATGAAATATTCCCACATGAGGAGTTTGAAATGGAAAAAATTACCTGTAAGCCAAGAGGCCACTGTGAAACGAGAAGTCACAAACTTAGTGGAGAACTGAATGGAGGAAGTAAGAAAAGCGGGAATAGGGGAAGCTCAATTTATAAAAAGAGAAATGAGTGCATATAAAGTTTGGACATAAATTTTCAACCCTATAGAGGATGGATGAAACTCCAATTGAGAGGACAAACGCTATAGACAACCTAATGGATGGGATAAGACGTGTGAGGAAGGTGTCATTTTCTCATATATATTTCAGTGTGTAGTCATAATCTAGTTCACGGAAGACGTAGATTTGACAACGAGAGCGAAAGAAGAAAGCTTGTTCCGAAGTTGGAGAAACGCGCATGATGATAGAACTTAACGGAGGAGGAAATTATGAAACATGTTGAGCCCTAGGTAATGACGCATAAATATGTATATACATATGTGCATAGAGATATATATAAATGTACAAAAAGTGTGTGCAGAGATACGCATATTGGTGCACATAGATATGCACATGGGTATGTGTGTGTGTGTGTGTAAAGGGATTGGATACCCTGGGAGTCTAGCTCGCGACCTAGAGGCAGTAGAAGAAACTAAGCTTTGGAGCCCCCCGCGCGTGCGCGCACACACATATATATATATATATGTATATATATAATATATCTACATATATATAGAGAGAGATGTAGGTGTACAAACTAGGCGTGCAGATTAGACGTTCGGCCTAGACGTGCAGACTAGGTGTACAGCCCAGTATTATAGGTTATATGTGTGAGGAGGAAACATATATGGTAAAGATATATGCAGATGTGTAAGTCATGTAAAAGTGTATGTAGATGTGCACGTCATCTAAGGGATAGAGATTTATAATATTTATATATCATGAGAAAAGAAGAACATCTAGTCTGAACAGGTACGAAGAAGGAAACAAACTAGGTGTGCAGACAAGATGGGAGAAAGAACTATGTAATAAATAAATAAATATATATATATATATGTATAAATGTCTGTCAACTTTCGTAAATCCACTTTGGTAGACCATATATTTCATAAATTATACGAAGGTGTCAGTCCACTTTCGTGGGAAGGTGTTTAGGTGTCAACCCTCATTCTTAAATCCACTTTCGTAGATCATACGAAGGTGTCAGTTCACTTTTAAACCACGAAAGATGTCAGTCAGTTCACTTTTAAACCACGAAAGATGTCAGCCCTCATTCATAAATCCTCGTTCGTAAATCATACGAAGGTATCAGTCCATTTTTGTGGGAAGGTGTTTAGGTGTCAGCTCTCGTTCGTAAATCCACTTTTGTAGATCATATGAAGGTGTTAGTCCACTTTCGTAAACCACGCATCAACCCTCATTCGTAAATTATGCAAAGATGTCAGTTGATGTTCGTAAAGTATGTGAAGGAGTCTGTTGGCTTTCGCAAGTTATGCGATTGTTGACTTTCTTATATTATGGTTTAGGTGTCAGTGTCAGTAAATTGTGCGACAGTCCATGTTCGTAAATTTTATGGAGATGTCTATTGACGCTCGTAAATTATGCAAAGATAAGACAGGGCGAAGAAAGCTAGTAGAGCATCTGTAAGTTAGGCGAACGAAATGAGGGCTTTGGTAAATTTACCCTCAGTAAATTTAGCCTTAGAAAAAGTAACTTCCACAAATCTGGCCTTAGCAAGAAGTGCTTAAAGTTTTAGCTTGGCTTAAAGAGTATAGTTTCAAGGCCTCATGTGATAAAAAAAACTCAGTTTTCCCCTATTTTACATCCGTAAAAAAGGGAAAAATGGGGCATTGAGGGAGGATAAAATCAGGCTTTGACTCATGGGCCAATACCAATCACCCAAAGGGATGATGTTGTGCAAGATCAAATGTGAGGAAAGCCCACAAGGAATATACAAACGCATGTATCTAGATAACTGCCTCCACTACGGAGGACCACTGAGGAAGTGAAAGAGGAAGACATGTCGTGGTGCTTGTTCCCGAAACATGCAGTCATATTACGAAGGACCACTAAGGGAGTGGGGGAGGAAGATAGGTCGTGGTACTTGTTCCCCAAGCATGCAATCTTATAAATATGGAAAGGAGCCAAAGAACAAGGTACGCAATCAAAACCTTAGAGAAACCAGAGAATAGAAAATCAATCGACTTGAGCGTTTGAGTATCTCTTGCAGGTACCCCACCCAGGCAACCTACGGAGAAAGACTGCTTGGGGACACCTCTAACGAAGGATTCGGCGAACGTGAGGATTGCAGTTAATAACTCTGTGGGGGTATTTCTTCTAGTAGGAAATTTTGCTCCAACACTTAGGCTAAAAATTTAGTCCAAAAAGGTTAAAGCAAAAAGACTATTTTTTGTTTATAAATTTTTTGGATTAAAAGAATCAGGTTTTAACCCAAAGTTGAAGATGATCTTAACGCAACCTTAAAAGTTTGCAAATCGAATCCCATTACCATTTTTTAATAAATGTAGAGTGTTTATTATAATCAAGCTTTGCTTTTTGTTTTTAGTGTGACAATCACACGAGATGGTACACCACGTGTTCCTATATAAATAGTGGGATATGTGTGTTAAAAGGTTAATTACTTAAAAATTAAAATTTTTCATCACTTACATAAAAACACATGGTGTACCATCCGTATTTCCATCGCAACTAAAAAAATTTCGTTGAATTGTGTGACATATTCGATGTACCTGGCCAAAGTAATATTATAAAATTCGAAAAATGATTATAATATTAAGATTTTGGACCCTCTTTCGGCTTGTAAATGATATTTAAGCATTACGTATTTAATTGTCACCAGGTTGTAAATTCCGGCCCGAGTCGGCATTCATGTGACAAGTGTGTCTAAGTTGGCATTCATGCGACAACTGTGTCCAAGTTGGCAATGGCATACATGTGATTAGCAAACAAAAAGTCGTTTTCCTTCTCCTTTTGCCCTTTTGGGCAAGATCTGGCATAAAAGATTGAATTAGATTTTTTTTTAATTATTAGTTTTATTAAGTATTACTTTGAAACTATTACAATTTTTTTTTTTTGAACAAACGATATTATCTAACTAAAGAAGTGGGGGACTAGGAGCCTCACAATGGACCAGACATAACAATTCGCATTTGACGAGAATCGAACTTAAGACCTCTCACTTATAAGTGAAAAAGAATACTACAAAACTCATAATCGTCTATCTATTTGCTACAATTGATTGATTAAACGACCATAATTTTAATTATTATTTTTTTGCAAAGATGATCTTTACAAAGTAATTTAAAATATGCACAGTTATCATAATCATTGTTCCTACTTATCGTTAAGTAGCCAAAATGATCTTTGCAAAAATGATAATTCAATTAAGTAATTTACACCCATTAATTAGTCAAGTACTTGATTAGCATGCATAATCAATCAAGCTACAAATATTTTATTAATATTTAGACTTTTTAGCCAAAATGATCGCTGAGATTGACATAACTCATTACTTTGGTCCCTGAGATTTGAAATCAATAGAAGTAATCCATGAGTTTGTCAACTATAAATTATTTTAGTACTTGCATGAAAAATTATATTAAATAAGGACCAAAATGACAAAAATACCCTCAATTTAATAAACAATGGGCTAAATGTAACATCTCACATCCCCAGGGGAGTGGATCGTGTAAGCCTTATATGTATATTCTGATATCTACCTAGCACGAGGCTTTTTGGGAACTCTGAAGTTAAGCGAGTTCGCGCAAGAGCAATCCTAGGATGGGTGATCCACTGGAAAGTTTTCGTGTGAGTTCCCAGAAACAAAACCGTGATGGCGTGGTTGGGACCCAAAGCGGACAATATCGTGCTACGGCGAAGTCAAGCTGGGGATGTGGTGAGGGATCGGGCCGGGATGTGACACTAAATGATTTGACAAAAATTAGAGTATTTTTATCATTTTAGCTTTATTTAATAAAGATTTTTTTATAAAATGATCAAAATGATTGATAATGTACAAACTCAAATATTAGTTCTATTTGCTTCAAAGACCTTTTTGACAAAAAACAAACCTATTAATTATTTGTTTTCTCGCCCAACATTAGGTGACGAAGATAATGAGTATCCACTTCTTAAATCAGCCAGTAGGACATAGACACGCTAATCCCGCGTCGAACCCGCGTCCCCAAATCTAACACCTGACCAAAGGGCGTGTCCTGATTGGTCCTCCCCGCTACCTTCATCCCCAAGTGTTACACGGCGATCCACCATATCACTTTCAAAATCGCACGGGGTCCAGATGGAATATCAAGAGACAAAAATATCTCCAGCCCAGTGGGCCCCTTTCAAAATACAACCACCATAACTGTTTTTCAAAACAAGGGTCGCTCCCTGGAAACTCCCTCCCTCTCCCTCTCACTAGGTCGGTGCTGAAACGCTCTCAAATTTCAGGGAGCCCCACATGGATCGGAGCTGGGATGACCAAGAAGGCGACTGGTACGGTAGAAAAACCTCCACCGCCTTTGACCGATCTTTCTGGATTTTTATCGAACACCTAGTCGGCGTAACTATTCGAACCCCTTATATACCCACTCCCAAGCTCCCCAAACTGCCATTTTTCCACCCACCACACCCACCTTCCCTTTCCCCTCTCTCTCTCTCTGTCTTACCCAGTTCACCGCCATTAACAAAGAGTGAGAATTGCGTTCTATGAGCCCAAAAGACGAAAGCCACCCAAAGTCTCCACCCACTTCAGCTGAATTCGACCCAGAATCAATTGGGTTGTCCGAATTTCGACCCCAAGTGTCGGCACCGTTACTGGGTTCTCAGCCGATTCCTTCGTTCACTTCTCCTGTAATGGAATTCGAAGCCTTCTCTTCTGTAAACCCATTGGGTGCTTTTGACTTCGCTGAAAAAGTTTCAATTCCAACGTCGTCTATGGGCGGCGGTGGTGCGGAGGACGTGGTTGTTCCGCCGCAGCCACTGGAATGTCTGCAGGACACTCCGGTGCCTCCGTTTCTGTCCAAGACTTTCGATTTGGTCGAGGACCCCTCGCTGGATTCGATCATATCGTGGGGCTCCGGTGGCCGCAGCTTCGTGGTGTGGGACCCATTGGAGTTTTCCAGATTCATCTTACCGAGGAACTTCAAGCACAACAATTTCTCAAGTTTTGTGCGGCAGCTTAATACTTATGTGGGTATTTTGCAGTAACACAGCCTGTATTAGCTGCTGTGATCTGTATGTAATTTTTTTTTCTTGTCCTTTAATTCTTTAATTTGTTTTTCTTTCTGTGTTTTAGATTTGTTGTTTGTTGTCTGAATTGAGTTTGATGAGGTTAATTCTGTATAGATGTAGCCGAGGCGATTAGTATTTGTATTAAGCTCGCGATGTAAGATTCTGTAGGAGCTGGTGTTGTATTCTTAACTCCCAATTTGTTGTATGTGTGGAGATTCATATGTAATTGACCAAAATGAAGTAATAAAAGGATTCTTTGTGAGCAAAAGGTTTCTTCGATGAAAAGCTTGGCGATTTGTTTTCCGGTTTCCAATAGTTTACGCAGGTGAAGTGACAGGAGAAATGAATTGCTGCTTTTGTTGTTCTTGATGATGATGATGATGTTTATGATGTTGTTGATGCTGATGATGATTGATGTTGTTGATGATATGATGATGATGTGGTTCTACTTTAATGGGCATGTAATCATCTCCTCTCTCTGGATAATATAACATGTTTTTTAGGATTGTCTTTAATCATGAAGCTTAGAATAGTGAATCTAAATGGAAATGGTAGAGGTTGTTCTTTTATTGATTTAGTAGTTAGGATTGGAGGCTTCTACGAGAAGAACATCTTCCCCTCTGAGTATGTACTGGAGAGGGGAGTCCGTCAGGTAGAATTCGGACTCCCTTCGAAATCTGTTATTATACAAGTATATATTACCCCAATAAAATTTCTCTTAATGTTTTTTATGTGATTTACAGATTGTAAGCAAGGTTCAGTTCTTCATATGCATGAAAGTTGATGGCCTCACATTGTCTTCTGTGATGATTAGATTGCTACTTGAATGATTGTATATATCTTTTTATTTCTGTTATATCGCTTTCCCATTCATTTTTTTTAATTATTTTGGGTCTTGCATTCAGGGTTTTCGCAAGGTTGACACAGATAAGTGGGAGTTTGCGAATGAAGCTTTTCAGAAGGGCAAAAGACATTTGTTGAAGAGGATCCAGAGGCGCAAGTCACCTCAATCTCTGCAAGTTGGGAGCTTTACTGGGCCTTCTGCGGAAGCAGGGAAGTCTGGAGTCGAAGGTGAGATAGAGACATTGCGGAAAGAGAGGAGTACGTTAATGCAGGAGGTTGTTGAATTGCAGCAGCAGCAGCGGGGCACAGTTGACCATATGAAGGTAGTGAATCAGAGGCTTCAGTCTGCGGAGCAGAGACAGAAGCAGATGGTTTCTTTCTTGACCAAGATGCTTCAGAACCCGGCATTCGTGGCCCGACTTCAACAAAAGACTGGACAGAAAGACATAGGCTCTTCAAGGGTGAGGAGGAAATTTGTTAAGCATCAGCAGCATGAACTCAGTAAGTCAGATTCATATATGGAAGGCCAGATTGTGAAGTACCAGCCTGCCTGGAGAAACCAAACCATATCCTCTACAGCGCCGGATTCATATCCAGTTCCTTTTGAACAATCTCCTCATTATCCTTCACAAGTTACGACAGGAAAACTGGGTTTGGATGCTGAAAGCACGGCATTCCAATTTGTGGACGCTGCACTAGATGAATTAGCAATCACACAAGGATTTCTTGAAACACCAGAGCAAGAAGGCGAAGGGGCATCAAGCATGGTAACTGAAGATCCTTTTTTCAAAGGGAAGAGTGTTCTAAGCCCACAACAAGAGGCTAATCCCGAGCATTATGTCTCTTTCGAGGAGGATTTGGTGAAGGACAGGACTTTTCCAGAACTGTTTTCTCCAGGGATGGAGAGCATGATTAAACAAGAAGACATATGGAGCATGAATTTTGATGTCAGTGCCGGTATGTCAACTTCTATGAATGAGTTATGGGGTAATCCAGTCAACTATGATGTGCCAGAGGTGGGATTGACGGGTGGATTGTTAGATGTCTGGGATATCGATCCTCTGCAAGAGGCAGGAGGGTTGGGAATCAATAAGTGGCCAGCCCATGAATCTGCATTTGATGAGCCTCAGAGTCAAGGTGTCCAGTGTGCATCTAAAACTACTGATCCGTAGGGCTGCATTTGCTGCCCTTTCGGATCCTAGTCATTTTAAGTTGCAGGGGTCTATTATATGGACGATTTATTAATGAATATATTAATTTGATAGCAAAGTCTTACTCTTTCTTAATCATCCGCTTTTATTCCTTAGATCTTCGATTTCCGCCCTGGTATTTGTTCTTTTCCCAACTCTCTTCTCACCTATTTTGTAGGTTGCATTCCAATTTCCTTCTAGTTGTAGGCTGCATTAATCTCAAAGTTCTGTTGCTAACAAATAATAGAGCTATGAAACTGCAGGTCTTTATCCTCTGGAAAGGTAGCTCGCTTCCACCGGGAAACGGGGTCTTGGATTTTGCCCTTCTGAGCTCGTGAAATTCCAGAAAGGTGAACTGTTTGAGTTTAACAGGTACAGAAATTAGTAGGCCAATCTGTTGAGATCATTCTTCTTCTCGTTGGTCTCCCAACCTTTAACGTTTACAATTTTTTAGACTTGATTTCTCCAGTTGGTGTACGAATACAAACACCGAAGAAGCATTGAGGTGCATTACATTAGTGAAGAGTTGCTTTGAAGAACTGCCAGCCTTCTCAAAAACAGGGAGAAGAAGATTACCGAACGTTCAAATTTGAAGCCGGCGAAATGCGTTAAGATTAGGCTAAATCAAAGATTCAGATGTCCACTGTCACCATAAGGTACTTTATATTTTTGGGTTCATCTTTGATAGTCCGGACAACCGCGTAGTTCAATCTTGACCATCAATTTTTCATACAATTTGATAGCGCCCGAATCAGCCCATGCCCAGCCCGATTTTAAACTTGATCGGGCTGGTTAGAATGAAGTAATAACCTGCTAAAATCCAACCCGACCTTTACCCGATCATTTATTGTGTTGGGTCGGGTTGGTGCTTCGCCCGACCGTGTCAAATTCAACTCGATTTTTATCTTAAATTGCTGGGGCAAATATTACCTTATCACACTTCATATTATATTGGGAGGGCTATACTTGAAATTTGATTTTTGTTTGAACATTGAATGATAGTGTTGCTTTTACGTTTCTTTTGGTTAAAACTTTGGTATTGTCTTATAATTAATTTCAACTTTGGATATTTTAATAATGTAGTACAATATTAGAATTGATAAAGTTAGGCAAACTTGAACCAAACTCTTGTAAGCCCGAACCTGGATAAACCAACATGAACTCGAAGACAACCCAAACTTGAAATACGAATTTGGTGGGTTGACCATCTAAACCACCCAACCCATCCGAATTGCACCCCTACTAGACTATTTTAGAAAAGTTGTATATTTTGTGCTCTTATTTAGTTTTCATTAGCATCAGAGAGGGTAAAAGTTGATCTAAATTGTATCTACTATTACTTGAACAATTGAATTAAGTCGTATTTAGTTAAATGTGGCAAGCAAACTTTCAGAAATATAACTAAAGAAAGAGAAAACAGTACATAACATAGAGCCAATCTTGACATTGGAAGGTCGAATAACAGAGCCTTTCAGGCAACAAATTGGTGACGCAGTAACTAATTTTAACTCGCGGAGACGGAAGAGGCTATGGAAGCAGAAGGAATACAACAGATATAACTCATGCTGGGAATGCAACTAATTATATAAGCTAGATCTGTGAAATATGGAAAGAACAAAAATCCCAAGCTCAGCGGAGATCCACTACACCCGCTGACTCTAATCCTTGCAAGCTGGCCGAAAAGCCAAAGTCTGGTAGTAGCAGAGAGTAACTCAACTTAACCCGCTGCAAAGTCCGTTTGTCTGAAGAGACTCACTCGGCATCCCTGGTTGTTGTAGGATCATGGCGCTCCCTTTTAAGTTTTTTTGCTTTCTTGGGCTCTAGCATGTCTTGAACCTTTGGTGTACGCTCATTACCCTCGTGTTTCATTCTAGCTTCGCGTCGCTCCCTTTTAACTCCCTTCGTTTTGCTAGGCACAAATGTATCACCAACCTTTGTGTGATAATACACCGTATCTCCAATCTAAACAGAGTTTGTCAACAAAAACGATAAAGAAATATTAGTTAGACATGCTTAACATCAGCGTACTGGACAAAATGTACAGTAGAAAAAGACGCAAGTAGAGAAGAAATGGTTCAGGTCATGTAAACAAATGCCCGCCCTCTAGACCACAGAACAACCGCTATATGAAATAATCTATGTTTGCCGTTTACCTTTTGATCTGGGATGTTGATTTTCCCAACCTTGCCCCGCAGTAGGTCCTGTTTAATATTCTTGTCCTGGAAGTAATAAGAGGAATTGCGTTACAGACATGTTACATGCAAAAGAAACCAGAGAAATCAGAAGGAGATTTAGTATTTCAACCTTCTTAGGCTGATTTTTGCCTTCTCTCATTGCTTCTTTCCTTAGGCTTTCGTTAGGAAGGCGATGCCGACGAACTACTAAATCCATGGAGGGGCCAACTTCAACTAGCTCCATCCGTGGAACTACTGTGCCAGATTTTTTAAGTCGCAGTGCACATTGAGTAAGAACCACTTTCTTAGAAGATATAGCTGTACATACATATACACGATCTAAACCAGCAAGATTTAATTTCTCTACAACCTGCACATATCATTTTTATGTATATATTAATATCCCTCACTAAATTAAAAAACGAGTAACGTGCAACAAAATGGCAGCAGAGATAAACCTCTCCTCGCAACAGATCAAGCAAAACTTCCTTCAAATGTTGCAGCTCTCCTGCGCTTTCAAATCCTTCTCCAATAAAGCAAACAAATGGTTTCGTCCCCACCCGCGGTGCTAGTTTCTTGTCATATGTAAACGATTCCAATGGTTTATAGTTTTCAACCCCAACCTCTACAAGATCATATATATGGTGATCATAAGTTCTCCCTATGACAAGATTGTCAGGCCGCTTCTTTGAGTGAGAGCCAAACTGCAATATAAGAGCAATTAACAATTTCAAAATTACATTTGAGAAATCGGGAAATAAACACAAGCATAAGATACAGTGCCTGATCTTATTTAGGCAACACAAGGGCTCAGCATTCTAAATAGGGTGAGTCAAGAACTCAGTTCAGAAAATGGGATAAACATCGATCATCATGCATACATTTTGAAAAATGAGTAGATGTAGTTGGAATATATAAAATTCAAGATTTAGGCTGAAGCGTTCAAGATAAAGTCCACATCAAAACTCAAAAGGTAAAATGGGACTAACAAGCGGGAAACGAGCATCCTTGGCATTCCAAAATGAAGGATGATAGGTAGAAATAAATACAAATACTTTCATTGGTTGTGAGCTGCTTTTAGTTATTCTGTGTTATGAATTCTGCGTCTGCAATGTCCAAACATATAACTAAAATAGTTTGTCACCTACCAAATCCATTGCAAATGCCACAACAAGATCAAAGAGGCAGGTTCATCATAGAAACATAAATTGAAAAAATCAAAGATTTCCAGAACATTGAAAGAATATAAACAAATTGAAACCAAAGATTTCTACTAGAAACACATTCGTTCTAATGAGCAGCTCAAAGAAATAACAGAAAACAACCAAACATCTTCCAAAATGTTCATCAATGCTAGCAATAAGTCCTGTAAAACTAAGCAAATGCTGCAACACTATCAAAATCCAAATAACCTTTCAAATCCCAAACAGAAAACAGTTGCATAATGCGCGCGCGCGCATATATATATATATATTTATTTATGGGGTCTTTTGATATGGGTCCAATTGGACCTATTTCAAAAATCAAAAGTCACTAAAAGTTGGACCTATTTCAAAAGATGAGCTATAAAATTGGACCTCTTTCAAATTTTCCCATTTATTTATTTATACCAAGCTCACATGAAATCAAATTATTGAAGGAGCAAAATGCTGAGGTAGTTTTATACTTACGACGAAAATACTGCAATCGGTTTTGTGAGAGAAGAACTCAAGGGAAGTATCACCCCCACTTTCAAAAGGGCTAATATCTTCATTCCTGCGGCTGAATTTCACAGCACTGTCCTTCTTCAAATGGTAAAGGTCCGATAACACAGAATTAATCACACTGCTCGTCTTCCTACCGTGAAGAATCAACGTCTTCTTCCCCGTCTCAACCTTTAAAATCATACAAAACCCGATTGAAAAATCAATACAAAATTCGAAGAAACCAATACCCAAGTTGAAAAATCTGAACTTTTGCTTTTGGACACAGGAAAAGTACAAATTTTCCCGAGAAACAAACAGATGTGAGGAACTTACGATCTTGGGGGCACGTTTCTCTAGCTCTCTTCTGGCCTTTCCACTCTTGGGAGTTCTCACTTGCAACAAGGTTGGCTGCGAACCCTCTGGCTCTCTTGTGGCCTTTCCTTTCTGGGCAGTTTTCACAGGCAACATGGTTGACTGCAAAATGTAAAACCCTCTGAGAAATACAGTTGCAGGACTTTGGAAGGGAAGCTAGGGTTTTATTCCAAAACGATGGTGACGACTGTGGACTCTGATATGATGTCATTAGGGTTTTGTGGGCTCGTATGGACTCGGAAAATAAGCTGCTTTACTCTGCCTTCTTGGGCCCATCATTTGTAACCCAGCTTAAGCCCAATCTCTTTTTTTCTCTTTCTCTTTCTGTCGAGTCTCAACCGTTCACTCATGAAAAAATAAAATGTGAGGGCGAGAATTTCCTTTGTAGCCTCGTAGGTGTTACATAAAGAAATTGTCGTTATGTTGATTAAAAGTATTTATTTTTTGCATATGAGCCTGAGGTTCTAAATTCAATTTTTCTGTTATCCAACATATAGGTAGTAAGTGTTGTCTTTTCTATTTCAATATAACTCAAGCATTTAAAATATTGAAATTATACTAAAGATATTATGTACAATTTGACGTATGTCATCTTAGTGGCAAATATTAAGTGTAACCAGGTATATAAAAAAAAAACCCATTACACAATATAATTTCTTCACTTATACAAGTGACACATACTTACACATGAGAGTGACCCTTGATTACCAAATAATATGGTTATAAGCTGCCTAAATGTTTACCCCAAATTTTTTACATCTGTTAATACCCCACCGCCATTGCCACCATGCCTTCACGGCCATTGAAACCACCGTTGTCTCCACCACTGTTGCCCCTTATCATGACCATCACCACCACCACTAACGTCACACATAATGACCCATCATTATTTGGATTATTGAATATTTAAAACTAGTGGAAATGCCTATTAAATAAGCCATTAAAAAGTTCATTATTTGAATATTAGAAATTTAAAACTAGTTGAAATGGCCATTAAATAAGCCATTAAAAAGTTCATTATTCATTATTTTGAATGTTGAAAACCTAAAACTAGTGGAAATGCCTATTAAATAAGCCATTAAAAAGTTCATGAGAATTCATGAGAATACACTAAGGGGTGTATTCAATTGGGATTTTGAGGGATTTTAATTCTTTTAATAAATCTAGGAGTATTCAATCAAGATTTTAAGTGATTATCTAAAATTCAAGGTGTATTCAATTATAATTTTAAGATGGTTTATTAAAATACTTAGGGGGTGTATTCAATTGGGATTTTGAGGGATTTAATGTTTTTAATGAATTTATGGGTATTCAATAAAAAATTTAAGTGATTTTCTGAAATTCAAGGTGTATTTAATTAGAATTTTAAGATAGTTTATTAAAATCCTTAGAAATCCGGGTGTTTTCAATTAGGATTTTAAATAAGTTTATAACATTCCATGTGTTTTCAATTAGAAATTGATTTTAAATAATTGGAGAAAGTTGAGGAATTAGAGGGAAATGAAGATATTTTGTAGTGTATTTTAATCATCCAAAAATCTCACATCTTCCCATAAAATTTCGAGTGAATTGAATCAAAATTTTATATGAAGGGGGAGTGTATTCAATTGGGAATTTGAGAGATTTTATTGGATTTATAAATCCATGAATTTTTATGGAGTTTAACTGATTTGTAGATATTTCATACAATTTTGATTCAATTCCCTCAAAATCTCATGGGAAGATGTGAGATTTGTGGATACTTAAAATATACTACAAAATCTCTCAAATTCCCTCTAATCCCTCAACTTTTCTAAATTCTTTAAATTCTAATTCTAATTGAATCACCTGAAATGTTATAAACTTCTTTAAAATTCTAATTGAATACATCCAGATTTATAAGAATTTTAATAAACTATCTTAAAATCTTGATTGAATACATATTGAATTTCAGAGAATCACTTAAAATCCTGATTGAATACACCTGGATTCATTAAAAGAATTAAAATCCCTCAAAATCTCAATTGAATACACCCCCGAAATCTCTACAAATCAATTAAACTTCATAAAAATTCATGGATTTATAAATCCACTAAAGTCTCTCAAATTCTCAATTGAACACACCCCCCCTTAGAAATCCGGATTTTAAAGAAGTTTATAATATTTCAGGTATATTCAACTAGAAATTGATTTTAAAGAATTTGAGAAAGTTGAGGAATTAGATGGATTTGGAGAGATTTTGTAGTGTATTTTAAGCATCAACAAATCTCACATCTCCCCATGAGATTTCGAGGGAATTGAATCAAAATTTTATATGGAATCTCTACAAATCAATTAAATTCCATAAAAATCTATCGATTTATAAATCCATTAATATCTCTCAAATTCTCAATTGAATACACCCCGTAAAATTCAAAATAAAGTCCTCACAAAATCCATGAATTTCAATAAGTTTATAACTTGCTCACAATCCTTTAAACTTTCATTTGAATATCATAGTTGGTAAAATACAAAAAATACGTGAAAAATACGTGTGCATATTATTCGACATTAGAAAGAAGAGTAAATTATAGCAATGGTTCCTGAACTGTAATCAAATTGGAGCAATGGTCCATCAACTAAAAATCCATTACCATTGGTCCCTCAACTTATCAAAATGTGTAGCTATAGTCATTTTCATCAGTTTCTTCAAAATTTTGTCAAAATAAGTTATTTTGGAATAACCATTTATAATTAGGGTCCCTCAATTCATCAAAGTGTGTAATTATGGTCTTTTTCGTCAACTATGTCAAAAATTTTGTCAAAATGAGTTATGTTTGAAGGACTTTTGCTACAATTAGGTTAAGTTAAGAGATAATTTATCCAGTTGAATTAAAGTTGAGGGACCAAATGTAATGAATTTTTAGTTGAGGGACCATAGCTGCACGTTTTGATGAGTTGAAGGATCAATGATAATGAATTTTTAATTGAAGGACCATTGCTTCAATTGAGTTAAAGTTAATGGACCATAACTACAATTTACCCTAGAAAGAAAGTTTGAAAAATTCGTCATTTAAAAAATTTTAATATTTATTTTAATATTATAATATTTATTTTTCAATAGTATTCTAAAAATATGTATATAATATACAAATTTTATGTGCATTATTGAAAATATGTATAAATAACATGTATTAGACGTGAAAAATATGTAAGTACTTGGAGTATTAAAAACCGTGCAATTTAACGGACTTGGATCCTCTCATGAGCTAATGGAGAGGATCATCCTGACCCATCATCTTGGGCCGTTGGATTTTTATCCAACGGCTACAAGCAGGAGGTCTCTTTAATGTTATAATAATTATAACCGTTGGATAAAAATTCAACAGCCCACGATTATGGGTCAGGAGGATCCTCTCCATTAGCTCAGGAGAGGATCCAAATCCCAATTTAACAAATCATTGAGATATGTACAAAAAAATATAAGTATTTTTTAAAAATATGTTTGTACTTACATGTATGATAGTTAACTTTATCTTATCATGAGGGCCAACTTTTGGGGAAGAGGTCCCTCCAGATCTCTTCAACCAAAACCCATCAATTAAATAATTCGGATATTTAAAATTTGATCCAACAGTTATGAATAAGGAATCATTTTAAAAATTATAATAATTTTAACCGTTAAATCAAATTTTAATATTTCAAATTAATTAATTGGTGGGTTTTGGTGTGAGAGATCCGGAGCTTTTGTTTGAAAAGAAGATTCAAAATAACCTTTCATATTTTAACTATAAAAAAAAAGGAAAAAGAAAATAACCCTTCTTTCATTTCTGGATTCATGAAAGCTCATTTTCCTTTTTTTTTTATTTTTAATTTTTTAATTGTCTTTAAATGACCTTCCCCGCTATATAATATATCTTCCTCACACACAGATGCGTACACTTTTCCTCCCCATCACCTTGTTCTTGATCTAATCCTAATTCCCAATTCCCCAATCTTCTTATTCCACCAATAACCCTCCAATTTCCGCTCCAATTTTTCGATTTTGTTTTTGCTTTTATTTTATTTCAATTTAATTTGTATACCTGTAATAAGAATCAGGGTTTATGTTGATAATTATCCATGTACTTAGGGATTTTTTATTTTCGTGATTATCGTGTCGATAACTAGGCCTTTCGCTGTTGGTAGTATACAATTTTGGATTGAATTTTTTATAGATGGCTGACTTGTAATCGAAGATTAGGGATTTAGGTTTAGGGTTTTGATTTCTGAGAATCTGATGGAAATGGAGAGCTCGCGTAGGCCGTTTAGCGGATCGAATGAACCAGGCTTGAAGAAACCCCGATTGGCCGAAAACCCGAATGGACGAGCTTTTGGGCAGAGACCTGGTGGGGGAGCTAATCCAGTGCTGTCAAGATTCAGAGTGAGTGATAGAGACACCGGGAGCGACGACCCGAATCGCGGGGGTGGGGGCTATGTGCCGCAGCCACTGCAGCATCAGGAGCTTGTGAGCCAGTACAAGACGGCGTTGGCGGAGCTCACCTTCAATTCAAAGCCAATTATTACCAATCTGACGATAATTGCCGGCGAGAACGTCCACGCAGCAAAGGCGGTGGCGGCAACTGTATGCAGCCACATTATTGAGGTGAAACTCAGCTTTACACTGTGTATATAGCTGTATTTGTGTTTTATATTTTTGGTTATGGCACCGGTTGTTTGAATTCGACTTGTAAAATGAAAAAGAAAGGGATGGAGGTGCAAAAGGAGAACTAAAATGTGTTAGTGCTCGCTCGCATGTTTTATGTTATGCTGATACTTTAGTGAAAAAGTTTTGTTCCGAAAGCTTGCCCCCAGTTAAATATTTGTTTACTTTCTTGATGCAAATAATAAAGGTTTGTGATATGTGTGGTGGTCTAGTTTTGACTGAATGGGAATGTTTGTATTCGCCAGTGAGCCTATCGAAGTAATGAACATCCAATTTCATTCTTATTTTTCCCGTATGATATTGAGTTGAGGGTTTGGCTGCAGTTAACATTGGTCAGGCTTTGTACGTGTAATCAGTATGTTTTCCTGATATTCCCCAGGTTTGACAAGTTCCACTTCATCATTTTCTGGTTGTCTGTGCGAATTTGTTTAATCCATTGCACGCAAACGAGGCTGTATGTAGCTACATGAGAATAGTTTTGACATTCTGTGATTAAATGGGTTTTGTGGAATGAGCTGTAGCAGGTTTCAAAACCAAATGAATAAATCACATCCTTATGGCTATGGCCTATTGGTTTCACAGAAAATCTCTGCATATAGCTGTTTTATTCTTGTTACAACAACGCTGCAGCATTTGAAAGGGGAGGAAAACCACTTTCATAGCCTAACAGATCCCGCTATGTTTAGAAAATCAGCATTACATGTTGTGGTTGTATGTAAGAACCTTATTCAGATAGAGTTTTGGGGAGTTTTTAGACCTGATGGTAATGCCCTGCAAGACTTCGATAGCTGACTCTGCAGGTGCATGATCTCATATGGTTTTACTCAGTGGTAATTATCTTGCTATACTGATCTTCTGGTGGTAATTAAAGACTGTCAGATTGACAAAACAGAGAATACATACAAACCTCAGGTTTTGTTAGAGCACTAAAGTGGTGGTGCCAATTTCATTGACATCCTTACATTTGAAAGATGGAGGGCATATTTGATTTATCAGTGTGATAACCTCCAAAATATACGATGTACGGTACATTTATATACACTTATATACGTCAAATAGATTTAGATGTTCAGTCTGTTATTGCACTTAGTCTGGAATTGCTCTCCTTTAGGCTTCTGATAGCACACATTCCATTTCTAGCTGAGCGTATCTTCTGATTATTAGGTGCCTGGAGATGTTTCTATAGATGTTATATTATCTAGGAGTGGCAGAGTGAAAGATGTCTTGTTAGTTTTCACTGTTCCCATAAGGAAATGACTCAAATCCTTGTGAGACAGAAACTAGAGTGAGAGAGCCTAGTTTTTAGAGGACACACGAGAAAACAAGTTATAAAATACGACCGTAAAAATAAATGAATAAATATCACTCGCATTATTCTAGTTACTGTATTTTCTCCTATGAGCCTAAGTTTTGCCCCCCAATGGGATAGTTTAGAAGTGATTATACGTGCAGTTTATGTTGCTTTTGATATCTTATAAATGTGTTTGAAGAGTCTAAACTGACACAAATTCTCCTTCCCCTTCCACACTCTCTTGGGAAACATCGGTTCTAGGCCATTGGTTTATTAATTGCTTATTTGTTTAAACAATACTGGCTGCATCTAGTGTATAATATCTAATTCTAGAAAGTAATTTGCAGGTTCCTAGCGAGCAGAAGTTACCATCACTTTATCTTTTGGACAGTATTGTAAAGAATATCGGAAGGGATTATATCAAATATTTTGCTGTCAGACTCCCTGAGGTTAGATTTCTTTCTTGATTCTCAGCATGCTTTGTCTAGTTGATGGAAAGCATGTTTTTTTTCTTTTTTTCTTTTAACATGTATTGTTCCTGATCTTCACCGCTAACCCATTACCTGGTATCTTTCAAATAGAAAAGATGTTTGTTTGCACACTACATCCTTGCTACCCGTATTTGTCACAACTCACTGTAGACTTGATTCTTTGTTAGTTACTTTGCCAATTCTTTGCCTTTCTCTTGAACTTATAGGTGTTCTGCAAGGCATATAGGCAGGTTGAACCTCCTATACATCAAAGTATGCGGCATCTTTTTGGAACATGGAAAGGAGTGTTTCCTGCTCAGACACTTCAGATGATTGAGAAAGAACTTGGATTTTCTTCTACGGCAAATGGTTCATCCTCTGGAGCAGCAACATCAAGACCAGATTCGCAGTCACAGCGACAAGCACATAGCATTCATGTGAATCCCAAATATTTGGAAAGGCAACGTCTTCAGCAGCCAACTAGGGTAAGTGGAGTTCTGAAGTCAATTACGGATGTGGATTCACATCTCTTGAGTTTTGACTTTTGACCACCAACTATTGATGTTCCACGATTTAGTGGTGGATTGTTAAAAGTTAATCACAAATAAATAATATCATCAGAAAACTATACTCTGATGAGCTTTTTTAACACTGGAAACTAGAACTCTTATAGTAGGTTGTAAAACTTCTATGTTGCTCTTTTTATTTATTCAGGGAGTTTATTCATAAAATATTGCTCTTATAGTTTGGAGTTATGTTATATTTTCCAGAAGTATCTTGATCCTTTACCAGATGACTTGATTCATTTTCATAAGGATTCGACGTAACTGAGATTTGCCGGCTGTTGACTACCTGAGAATATATATTTTCTTTCCTTGAGTCGTTTTCTTCGTACAACCTTGATTTACCCACATGCTCCTTATGAAAAGATTAGTGCTTTTACATATTTCGTTTATGCTGGTTTTTGGTATGAAGGCAAAAGGAATGGCTAGTGACTTTTCTAGGGCTATGGCAAACTCAATTGATGATGATCCTGCTGTTAAAATGCATGAATGTTAAGTAAAATTTGATATTATGTGCGTATTATTGTCCTTTTTTTTCACAGCTCATGATAGGTAACATTTGCAGAATTTGCAGCAGTCCAATGCAGATGCACTAAGCGAGCGTGTTCATGAGAAGAACATTGGTGCTGAATATGGAGAATATGAATATGGTTCTGATCTTCCCAGGAATTCAAACCCAGGAATTGGAAGAATTGGTGGGAAGATTACAGAAACACTACCCACCCAAAGAAATGGTGTTAATATCAGGCATGGACTTGCAAATTACTCGGCACCTAAATCTGCTAATGCTGATCCTCGCTTAAAGGCAGCACCAGGCATTGCAACTAGAAACGGTGGTGGGCTTTCTAGTAGCTGGAAGAATTCTGAGGAAGAGGAGTTCATGTGGGATGATATGAACTCAAGATTAACAGATCATGGCCCGTCAGATATTTCTAGTAACTCAAGAAAAGATCACTGGGCCTCTGATGATTCAGAGAGATTGGTAAGCTCCAATTGCTTGTACTGATTGAAAAATTGGGACCTGAAGGTTGATTACCTACCGGTTCACATGTTAATTTCTCAGCCACGAAGTGTGGAGGCAGATGCAAGGACAAGTTTTTTTGTGCTTCAGTTTTTTTAGATTGTTACTGGGCAGATCCCTGTTGGGATCAATACAATGCTTTTACTTTCACACTTATCTTAACCTCTAGGATGCACAAACTGCCTCTTACATTTAAGGATAATTTTTTTTGAAAAAAAAGAAGAAAATCTTATTATTTGAAATTGCTCATATTCTCAGGGGTTTGGAGGTCATTTTCGTAAACCAAAAAGTGTAAATGATTATGCATCAACAGCTGATCTGGATACCTCTGCTGACCTTACTGAACAGAAGGACCTATCTGCTCTTGGTCACCTGATGTCATCACCTTGGACATTGCAGGACTCTATCGGTGTTGACAGGCTGACCCCTTCTGGTACTCCTGTCATTAGTTCGGTTCACTCGGATCGTTATGCTTCAAGTTTAAGTGGGCTATCAACAAGTGGAGATTATTCTGTGGCCAGGATGGGAAGTAGAGCACAAGTAGCATCTTCTCGCATTGGAGCGTCAAGTCTCGGGTTTAGTGCAGCATCAGGGCCCACTGGAGCTTTAGGGAAACAGCAGCAACTTCAGTCTGTGAGAGCTGCATCACCATCTGGGCAGTCACTGATGCACCGGTATTCTCCCTCACCTACATCAACAGTACAACACCCTCGTCATCATTTGCAAAGTTTAGCTGAGCAAGACCTTACTGAGGACCCTTTGCCAATCCCAACTCCCAATGCTCGACTGGGTAGCAAAGCAAAATCACAGCCTCAAGATTTATCTTTGTCAATTCCTGCCATCCAATCAAGGCACAAATATGCCTCTCGACAACAACCGGACAGTATAGAGTCTGAATCTTTCGGTCACACTAAGAAGCCCCCTGTGCTACCGGTCTCCACTTTTTCAACTCCGTCAACTGTTGGAGATTCTATACCAGATCATTCAAATGTCATTGCTGCAGAAACCTCAGGACAGTTGAGCACTAGTAGTTTGTTGGCTGCCGTTATGAAGACTGGAATTTTATCTGACAAATCAATTACTGGTGGCCTACCAAATTTGAATATTCGGGACATGGGACATATTCCATCACAGCCAGGTGTTCAGTCTCCCTTTCCAAGTGGACCTCCCCCTACTCAGGTTGCACTCCCAGGGTCCAAGGTTGCCTCAGCATTTACATCAGGTCACCTTTCTGGTGATAACTCACCAGCTTCCTCAAATGTATCACAGAAGAAGGTAGGCCATCTGCCACTTCCACATAGCCAACCTCCTTCATCTCTCGAGGGCAGTGCGTCAGCAAGTTCTTCAACTGTGGTGAATAACTCCTCGGATCCAATTTCTAGCCTTTTAAGCTCCTTAGTTGCAAAGGGTTTGATATCTGCATCAAAGTCAGAGTCGCTCACTCCTGTGCCATCCCAAAAGCCAACTGAACTGCAAAACAAGAGCCTTGGTGGACCTGCCACAAGTTTAGTGTCAGTGTCTCCAGTTTCAGTTTCAGCAAGTCTTCCTGTTTCATCTCGAACTGATGATGCATCTCTCCCAGAACCTGTAGCTAAAACATCTGCTGCCTTACCACAAATTACCAAGACAGAAATAAGAAACCTCATTGGCGTTGAGTTTAAGCCAGATAAAATCCGAGAATTCCATCCAGCCGTGATTGAGGAACTTTTTAATGACCTTCCACATAAGTGTAGCATATGTGGCCTTAAGCTCAAACTTAGAGAACGGCTTGAGAGACACTTGGAATGGCATGCTTCGAAAAATCCCGAAGCCAATGGTTCAGCCATGGCATCAAGGAAGTGGTATCCAAATTTAACCAGCTGGGTTGCTGGAAAAGCAGGACCCCCTTTGGTACCTGAGGCCAACAATTCAATAGACGAGCCTAATGAGACGATTGACATTGATGAGCCCATGGTTCCCGCAGACGAAAGCCAATGTGCATGTGTTATATGTGGTGATATTTTTGAAGATTTTTATTGTCAAGAAAGGGATGAATGGATGTTCAAAGGAGCTTCGTACATGAGTATTCCATCTGGGGCCGGTGAGATGGAAACCACAGAGGAGAGTGTTTTGAAAGGTCCCATTGTGCATGTAAATTGTACGGTGGAAAGTTCACTCTCTGATTTGGGATTGCCGGGCCATGTTAAATTGGTAAGCTCTTGTTTGTTAAGTATGGGCAAAATAGTTGTCAATGTTTTGGGCCTTCTTTTATTAGTCTTCTACCATAAACTATCGATTTTAGATGTTAAGATGTTACCTCTTACTTTTTGGCAGGAACCGGAAATTTAGCGTTCGAAGCTGAAGAGACAAAACTCCATGCATTCTGAACTTTTGAGGGAATTCCAGGTTTTAGATTAATGTGTTTTTTAGATGTGAATCTTCGATGCCTATTTTTCGTGCGCCACAAAATAGTGGTGAGAGCTTTCAACTAGCTCCTCCTCTACAATTTTCTTCTTGTTTAATTCAAAGTTTTCGAGGAAAAGAAATGCATCCGTTTGCCAGATAGTTTCCATAGTTTCCATCTCAATGATTTCTCTTATGTGCTAGATGTTTTGCTATATTTGTTCTTGTTTTTGACTTCTGTGAAGCGATTTGCGCTTGATACCATAGTCGTCGTCCGGTCTTAGTGCAACAACGAAAACACTTCCGATTCTCCGAACGAAACCATTCCAGCTTCACAATCGGCATGTGTTTGTGGCCCTTGAGGGATGCCTCTGTATCATGGTACCATTAGTGGAGCAATGTTTTTAAAATTTATGTTTTCAATTTTTACCTTTTTTTTGTGGGTGTAGTTTATAGCATTTGGAGTTGAATACTGTCTACTTTCGATGTTTGTGGAAAGATAATGGATAAATGTTACTTTACCTTTCCAAACTTTGTAGGATATCTTTTCATCATATAATTTAGTGTGCCATTTTTTTGCCTTTTGTGTTGTGTTTGCTTTTGACTCGTCTTGTGTTGAATTGGAATGGATAAACTACTATATTGAAGATATTTCGAAAGAAGTAATGAAAAAAATTGTATCCAACTTGAAGGTAGAAGATGGAATATTCGTTAAAAAAGTTTATCTATTCCAATGATCCTCAAAGTTGGTTGATTAGAAGGGATTGGTTTTTTTTCATGTCTAATCCCGTTCTAATTTCTCTCAAAAAAAAAAATTATTATTCTCTTATCTCAAGAATACCTTGAATGTAAAGTGATCCTTTACAATTCAATTCTAGACAGCAAACAAGGCATAATTGCACCCGTAAAAGGGTTAGGTTCATGTCCATACCCAAGTAGTTTTGATCAATCCTAGACAACAAACAAACGAGGCTTAATTGTAAAGGGTTATGTTCTTGGTGATACCCAAGGAGTTTTGATCACAAATGGTCTTGGGTGTTAGAAAACAAGTTAGGGTGGTATTATCCAAGTACTTTTTGTTAATTTTTATCCTTTAATAATCTTTAATTTATTTGATCTGACGATAAGAAATTATAATAACTATAAAAAGTAAAAACGGGTGTAGATATCACCGCATAAGAAGTTAGCGTCATGTATCACGTTATGTTTCGTACATCAATCTCTTTCATGCCGACTAGTTTCTGCAAGAAATTTTGTTACGGTGGTGACATGGCTCGTGTGTGGAGCCTACAAGTGCCACCACATGCATGAATGATGAAAACGTTTTTCTTATTCCACATGCACTTTCTAACATCCCTCATCATACTTTGAATGATTCTCTCTCTCTCTCGATTTTCTTATTCCACATGCACTTTCTTACATCCCTCATCATACTTTGAATGATTCTCTCTCTCTCTCTCTCAATAATTCAGTATTATTCTTTGCTCAATTATTTAACTTCATGAATTCCTCCTTTTTTATGAGAATATGTTCCTAAATTAATTATAAAAAAATTTCAATGGCCAGGATTTTGCTCCCAAAATGGTTTCTACTTCGAATTATGATCTTTCGTTAACATTTTCGTACTTCGGTTTTCATCTTCTATGCTTAAAATATATATAAAAAAAAAGTGTATATGAAAAAAATAGAGCACAGAAATCACTTATTGACGCAAAAATTATTACAATAATGAAGGAAGAAATAGTAAATGGCAACATTGATACTATAAAGCTTGTTTGGATGTGCTTTTACAATGACTGAAAGTGCTTTTGGTGAAAATATTTTTAGAACCAATATTTGGTAAAAATGCACGTGAATCATGAAAAAACACTTAAAGTGCTTCCTGGAAGAAGCAGATAACTGATGTTTTTTGCAGAAAGCACTTCAAGTGAAGTGCTTTTGGAACCTAAAATAATTTTCTCTAAAAACACTTTCAGTCATTTTAAAAGTACATCCAGCCCATATTTTCTTACACAAAAAAAATAAACAATTATTTCTTATACACAACTTTTATGCGAAAATCCATCTTATTTCTTACACAACTTTTATGCGAAAATCTAAAGTCTATGGCTTATGGTTTTGGGTGTAAATATAATCCAAGTGAGCTTCAGCAATCATCCTTCTCTGCAGACACTCTTCATCATTTTCATCACATTCTTCTGCTCCCATCAACTGTGGAAAATTAAAAAGAAAATTACCACGAACCCAACAAACAATTAATCAAAGATGAACATCAAAATATAATAATTAACTAACGAAAACGCATAAAAATCATAGATAAATTAAAACGGGGGAGGGAGGGATATATATATTATATATATATTTATTTATTATCTTACATTTACAAGATCATCGGCTCCAGTTAGTGAAGCTTTGTTTTGTTGCAGAAGACGAGCACGTGCAGATGATGAGTTGGAGAGAAGAAGAAAAACAAAGAGAGAAAATATGATAAAGTTTTGGTTATTCTTCATCTGCTTCATGGTTTCTCTTCTCTATTTGGCTTTTGGCTTTTGGCTTTTGGGTGGTGAGTGTGTGTGTTCTGAGAAAAAAGGGAAGGAGAAGCAAAGCAGTGTATAAATAAGATGAATAAAACTAAGCAAGGGTTTCAGTCACATGGAAGACCAAGCAAGCAGTTTCAAGCAGTACAGTTTGTGGGGTCTACCCACTTTCTTCCCTTTGTTTGTTTATGACAAGAAATAAAATTTAGGAATTTTCATGTTATGGTAATTCTTCTTCATACGGGAGGCTTATGTTCAAATATTCAAATACTTCCGTAAATTTTTTCGAGTCTTGAAAGAGTAGATTGTCGTGGCTTCATCGTCAATTGGTTTCTTTAAAAAGACAAATGCAAGGAAACTAGAGAAAGAGTAAGTTATAATAATCATAATTGATGCCGGACTCACTTGGAACAAGGAAATTATGAACACAAAATATAAGAAATATGGAAGAGAGGGATTGAGAATGTGATTAACTATTTTTTTTCTAACTAATTTTTTACATGTTTATTTATTTGGAACGGTACGAAATTATTCTGATTCTTCACTTCTCATGTGTTTTCTAAAATATTACTTCAATCAAGAATGAGTTTACTAACGTGTACAAAACAAAAAAAATATATGGCTCGCATATTACAATCCGTGATGAGTTGATATCCCTTTTCTTCTGTCCTCTAAATCCCACTTTACTAATTCATGATTTCTATAATTTCAAAAGTAAATTTCATTAGTTCTCTTGACTTTTTTTCTTTCAATTATTGTATTACGTACTTTTTAAATTCGCATTTGTAATGAGATTATATACACCTGTTTTATTTAAGTGTTTTTTCGTTTTTCATATCTAAAGTACTTATAAAAGATAATTATTGAACCAAATAGAAAACTTAAGAGTATATAGAGTTAACGGAAAATTTGACGTAAAACAGAAAGCAGTAACATTTTCAGATTTATACCGCCTGAACAAAACAAATATAATATACACAGTACAGGTAAACCACAGTGTGGTATAGTGTGTGAGATAAAGAATTTCGTGTTTACTACGTGTTCGTCATTGTTATGGTCATTGCTGATGCTTCTGTGCTTTCTCTTTAGATGCACAGAAAGAAAGAGAACCGCATGTCTTTCCACAAAGACAAAAATCGTCAACCAAGTCAACTTTTGGACTGCCGTCCCTGACATGTACGCATGCCCGACAAGCTGTTTTCCATTTGAAAATTTGCAACCTAACTTATTAACTTTGTCCCAAATTTCTACAAACTCTCCAAACACGTACGTGATATACTATCCTTTCTAACATTGGAGGACATATTCAACTCCTTAATTATAAGACGTTCATCATATTTTAGAAATTGATAGAATTTATGATGTTCACAATGTCTCCAGTTAAATCTCTACGTTTCACCCTGACGCATTAAATCTCATTGTTTCTTCATAACTCGTCATTCGTCAAATGTCTCGTTGCAGAGCAGTTTTTTTACTTTCATTTTTCTGTCTACAAGAGCTATAAGAGAAAGCTAACATGGAGAGAAATGTTACAACATTGACAAGCCTCCCTTCATATCTCTCACACTTTTATTTATCTTCGAGTCAGATTTTTACAGAGTCACATGTGCTTGTGGAAATCCAATGGAATTTCACAACTTTGTATATAAAAATCCAAACTTTAATTGTTCAGATTCAAATACACAAAGATTGAAGATGGTGACTTTTATTAAATGTAGTAACAATTAGAGAGAGAAACTAATTACTTTAGTCTGTGAAACTGAAAATTAATAAAATTTCAGTGAAGCCCTCCTCCTGCCTCTCATACCAAAGTTCCATTTGAGATTTGGTTAAATGTTGATGGGTTGATCTCATATCGGGAAATTGAAAATTTCCATGAAACCCTCCTCTATCTCCTACCTGCGTCTCCAGCCCCGCCCTTTACGGTTTTACCTGCATCCGGATATCTGAAGGAGGAAACCAGAGAGAGGGAGATAAAGACAAGTGTAAATTTTTGTCCACATGTCCTTGAAAGCTGTCATCTAACTGCTCAACGAATTACCTCTCGGAGCCTGGGGTAGGGTAGCTGCTAGCCTCATGCCTTTTGTATGTGTTGCTATGGACATATGTCAATAGGCTTACTCAGCATATGTAGGCATCTGTCACGATGCTCGCTCGAAAGTTGTTGACATTTGTTGACATGCGTACAATATGATGTAGAATTAAAGACAGTAACATTTTAATATTCATACAACTGAACAAAACAAATATAAAATAGACATTACAGGTACTAAGCATCAAACCACAATGTGGCATAGTGTGTGAGAAAGCATTTCGTTGTTTACTACGTGTTTGTCATTGTTATGGTCATTGCTGATGCTTCTGCTTTCTCTTTAGATGCACAGAAAGAAAGAGATAGCATATTTCTCCCACAAAGACAAAAATCGTCAACCAAGTCAACTTCTGGACTGCCTTCCTTGACCTGCAGCCCTACGCAGCTTTTTTCCATTTGACAATTTGCTACCCAACTTATGAACTTTGTCCCAATTTCTACAAACTCCAAACACGTACGTGATTAAGTGTCCTTTCTAATATTTGAGGATATATTTATAACACATTCCTTGTAGATGAGTCAAACTGAGTGTTTTTTCTCATTATTTTTTAAATTGATAGAATCTATATAATGTTTGCAATTTTTAATTAAATTTCTTCGTTTTTCACTCCGGCGCGTTAAATCTTTATGTTTCATCATAACTCGAGCAATCTTTGCGTTTCCTTGTGTCTCATTGTAAATGATGCCCTTCATTCATCTGTTTAAATATCATGATTCATACCCTTTCCTTTCATTTTCTATCCATAAGAGCTATAAGAAAAAGCTGACATGGAGAGAAAATGTTAAAAACCTTGACAAGCCTCCCTTCATCTCTCACACTTCTATTTCTCTTCGAGTCAGATATTTTTACTTAGTCACACGTACTTGTGAAGAAACAGTGGAATTTAACCACTTTTGTATATAAAAATCCAAACTTTAATTGTTCAGATCCAAATACAGAGAGATTGAAGATGGTGACTTTTATTACTAGAGAGATAAACTAATTACAATAGTCTGTGAAACTGAAAATTAATATAATTTCAGTGAAGCCCTTCTCCTGCCTCTCATACCAAAGTTCCATTTGAGATTTGGTTAAATGTTGATGGGTTCATAACACATCGGAAAGTTGAAAATTTCCCTGAAACCCTCCTCTACCTCCTACCCTGCGTCTCCAGTCCCGCCGTTTACCTGCATCTGGATATCTGAGCGAAGAAACCTGAGAGAGAGAAATTTTGTCCACATGCAAGTCCTTGATAACCGCTCAACGAATTGCCTCTGTGGGCATTAGATAGGGTAGTTGCTAGCCTCGTGACTTTGTATGTGTTGTTATGACATATATATGTCAATAGGCTCACTCAACATATGCAGACATCTGTCATGATGCTCGCTAAAAAATTATTAACATCAGTAAATATGCTCGCTAGGAAGTTGTTGGCCTTTATTCACATGCATGCAATATGACTTGGCAATTAACCTCATGTCTACTAAAACTTGATGAAATACCAATTTGCATGTTATTCGGTCCAAAAAATTTACCCTACGTGCACTATTCTTACTGACTTTCCAATAGTATTTTTAGGACCCGCTACTAGCCACATGTCGGTATACCCAGACATGTGAGTTGGTCTCAATACCTATTCCCATATTATATAGATTATTGACCAGTCCGCATCTCAAGATGTTTACAAAAATTTAAAGAGGAATTCATCATTTTACCCTCTAAACTTGTAAAGATTGGCCAATTTTCTTCCTCAATGTTAATTTTGACCAATTTCTCTTTTCAACTCTCATAATTAGTCAATATCCCCCTTCAACTTTAATTTTGGTCAATTTCCCCCCTCAACTCTCATAATTAGTCAATTTACACTCTATTGTTAATTTTTGGGGTTTTCATCACAAATATTTATTGAAATTGAAAATCGATCAATGTAGTCCCTGAAATTGAATGTCGCAAATCAATGTAGTCATTTCGTAAAAAATTCTGTTAAGTATTGATGTGTCAAGTAATTGAATCCTATAAATCTAATTAAATATTATTATATAAATTAAAAATATTTAAATAATAAAAATAATTTTTTATTTCTATATAATTATGAACTTAAAAAAAAAACAAAAGAAGGTTACTGTTTATTCTCCTCACCCCCTCCGAGCAACACCCAGCCCCACCCCCACCCCATCTGCAGCATTCAACTAAATTAAAACAGTAGTCTACTTCCTCCTCCCCTACTCTGCATTGCGGAGTGATATTTCTCCTGGCTTCCATAGCCAGAAAGCTCACTTCTGCAGCAGCAAAGGGCTGCAGGAAGCAGACTCCGTCTGCCCCTCAGTCTTCTGCGGCTTATTCTTCAAGCATGAGCGGCCAGTTTTGCCCAAGCCCTATGTGGAGCTCTTCGTCGTCGCCAGGGAGGAGTCCAGTGAGGAGTCCGAGGAGGTTTGTGGAGTAGGAGAATTTGGGTATGATGGTGGATTATGGCTCTCAGAGATCGTCGCGTCGTTTGTGGAAGCCGATGTTGGATACGATAACGGAGAGATGGGGTGGGGGCTGGGTGTTGCTCGGATGGGGTGGGGAAGAAGATAAACAGTCATCTTCTTTTGTTTTTTTTTTTAAGTTTATAATTATATAGAAATAAAAATTATTTTTATTATTTAAATATTTTTAATTTATATAATAATATTTAATTAAACTTGTGGAACCTAATTACTTGACACATCAACACTTAAATGAATTTTTGACAGAATTGTGATAGAATGATCACATTGATTTGCATCATTCAATTTCTGGAACTACATTAATTGATTTTCAATTTCAGGGACTATATTGATGGGATGGGTCAATTTCAGGGACTATTTGTGATAAAAATCCTAATTTTTTAAATTTTCCATCTATTCTTCCGTTAAATAAGTATCTGCATGACTGCCTTTAAAGGGCAAAAAAGTCATTTTCCCTACACCTTCTATCTTCTTCCTTTTCTTCGAACATTCTCTTCTTCTTCCTTTTTCTCCAAGCCGAGCCCGTGACTGCCGCCAACACCTCCCTCCTCCGTCGTTTGTAGCCTAGTCCATTGGATATGCTGCTTTTGTTGATTGTAGCTGCCCACACCCTGTTGCCTCCTCCCTCGGCCTCGTCTACCTCTGGTAAGGTGTAGGGAAACCTACTTAACGGAAAATGACAGTAGGGTTCAAATTGAAAAAATGACAGTAGGGTGCAAATTGACTAATTATGAGAGTTGAGGGGGAAATTGGCTAATTA